CTAAATCAAATTACTTTTATACTTTCTTATAAAATTACTTTAATACGTATATAACTTTTCTAAAAAGTGTAGCAAAAGTGTAGGATGGTTAATATTAAGCCATTTACGTATGTCAAAGTATTTTACAATTCCTTCGTCTACCAAGTAATTGATGTTCTCCCTATCTTACCACTTTAACTCTGTTCTAAAATCCTCATCTATTTTCTAACGGAATTAACTAATTAGTGTAGTAATAAAATTTACAAAGCTGCCTTAAGTTAATTTCTTATAATTAAAAGTAAGTCGTGCGTTGACGACATTTTCTCCATCCTTTATCTTCAAAGAAAGTACATTAGAATGAAATTACCGTATTAAACGGTAGGAAACATTACAGATAAATTAAAGCTATTACATTATAAATGTAACTATTCCTTCAGTATGTCGTTGTATATTGCCAAAACTAATTAGCCACTCCTCACAAGAAACTAGTTCCTCGCTATTTCCTTGCGATATTTTATTCGTTAACAAATTATTACTAAAAATGAAAGACTACATGAGTTTTCTTTCTTTTCATATAAATCATTAAGAGTAGTCAATAGAAAAACATGAGTCTAATGAATTACATTTGGCAGTAAATAATGTAATGTAATAATATGTCATAAGTGTCAGATGACAATATTATATTCCTTGAGGAAAATTGTAACATTGGCTGATATTCATTTCTTTCTGATATCTCCATTCAGTTACCAGAGACTGCGACTTAGATATATTATGATTGTGTTTTTATTATCTACTTCAAAAGTTATTTTTCTTACTAATCGACCTTGTAGTAGCTGATATTTGGGGTTACATTATCCGAGTCGAAATTAATGTTCATTTCTTTACATACATAGATAATATATTTGTGTATACTATTATAATTGATTATATATTAATATTTGTTATCTTTAATATTTTTTTTTGTTTTGTATATTGAATGGATAACTGATTTTATGATAGGTATTTCAAAAGTCATTGCATAGAGAAATCAAAATTATTTCCATTATTGTGTTCTTATGTTTCATAAAGATTTATCCGATATTTTTCCTAACACAAAAGATATAAATTAATAACTTCTCAACCACCATTTTTAAAAATATTTCGTGTTTATATTTCTTCTAAGATTTTAATCCAAATATGCTTCGATTAATGGGGTGTTGAGAATACGTAGGTAAAAAATTATACGATACAAATACTTAAGACAAATCAGTAAAATTAATATACAAAACGAACAATGGTTTATTAACATTCAAATCGTTTTTCCCAAACGTGCTCTGTTTGCGATATCTTTGGTAAGTAAATTCGGTTGTTGATTGTGAAACTGCTTTGTATTATATTAGAATGGATAAAAAGCTCACAGATATAATATAAAATCAAAAATATTTACCCAGCACCAACAAATGAATAAAATTCTCAAGTTTATTTGTTTAGTTTTCCAGCTTAATAATGTTAGAAATAATATATAAGTTTAATAATATTGACTTTATTTTATTGAAGCTTATATAAATTGTGACGGAAAATTTTATTGGTTACGGAGTTTGCTCCTTAAATTTTCTTGAATTATTAATTTTATACGTAAAAATTCATGGGCTTCCTTTTTTTCTTTAAATTAAATATGTACATATATATATATATATATTTGCGAAAAATATAATTATCACTGAAGAATATACAAATATTAAAACGTGATAGAGAAATAATAATACTTTAACATTTTTCTAAATATATTCGAGTTAGAATAAAATTACTAAGAAAACAAAACTGGGTTTATAAACAACAAGTACAGAAACGGGTTTTATAAATAAAAAGTTAAGATAAACAATAATAAATATTCATTTGGTTCCCATATACCCCTTTTTCTGTTTTCAGTAAAGAATAAATAACATTGGGTGGTTTTATTTTACTGCGCCGTCATGTCATTTATTTTACGAATATTTTAATTTACGAATGTTGAAAATTATTGTATGCGTTGAAATTCAAGAGAATTGTTAACAATTGCGATGCTAGCAACGACTACACTCGATTAAGTAATGTTTTATGCAATTTCAGACTTAAAATAACTTTATACAATTTTTATGTTATCTACTTAATTGTTTGAAGTTTTTCAACACTTTAAATTTCGTTATAACTAAACCAAATAAAGACATTATTAGGTTATCTAAAGATAATAATCTAAAATATTGTTGTTTTAAAGGAATGGTGGTGAATTCTTTGAACAATGGCATTAAAATTACTTTCTAATACAAACTATTAAATCGTTTTAAGCAAGATATAAGCAGCATCTTATGATTATCAACTGATATTGCCATTATACCAATCAATAAGTGACTTTGATTTCATACATAATAATTTTAATTTTTTCTTATCACACCCAGAATTTAGTCCAGTAAGATTATCTTAAAGGTCGGATACTTTTACTTTACAACGCATATTGATGAGCGAAGCTGGCTCACTATCAGGAGAAAAGTTTCCTCGTTGAATCCCATTATATTATATTACCAGTCATTTTAGCAAAATTATTATAGCTTAATGATACTGGAGAGCATATATTCCTGTTTTATTTAGATACAAAATTTTTATATCGCTACAACACTCAAATACAGTAATAAAGCTACTGTTCTCAAATTACATTGGTAAAAATAGGTTTTAGCATTATTTCCATACCATTCCACCCCAATTCATTTCAATCATTCCATTATGTTTAAACAATATGTAAAACTAAAATTTACTTCATATATATACCTAAACTTGTAGGACTCAGGGCAGCTGTAATAAACATTTTGCACGATATAATAATGTCTATCATTATGATACCTACTATATAAGTGCTCAAACTTATTTCCCAGAAGGATAATAAAGAGATTTTCTGTTGTTTATTGCAGAGTCGACCTCAGGCTATGATTGATTGTTCTTTGGTTCAACGTCTCTTAAAAGAAATAGCAAAGTCATTTATGTTTATTATAAGCATTACAAAGAATCAATATCACAATATTATAATTATAAAATTGGAGTAATAATAAAAAAATAAACAAATAATATAAATTTACAAATTTAGTTTCATATTAAAAATATCATAATTAGTATATTACAATGCTGGTATTGTACTAGTTAGGCTTTATAAAATTATAAAATATATTTTAAAAGATATTCGTAATGCACCTGTGTTAATGTCATATGATCAATTAATTACCCCTGAACGAGCATACATATGTATTGAAAATACGAAAAATGTATAAAATGAGGAATATTTTTTATGGATCTGATTTATTTACTTTCATAAAACTGTGAATTGTAAATATCGAAATTAACTCAGTTTAAATCGGTAGAGATGGTTTCGACCAGATGTAGTAAAATTTAATAATTATTTCCAATATGAAGAAAGGCAAAAGAAAAACTACGATTTATGAAATTTGAATGAGCAAAACATTTTATATATATATTTTTACATGACATATATTTTACTATATTATTTGTTAATGTTTTGAATAATTTAATTTGAACTGTGTTTGAACATCAGGGAATTTGTAATAATATTAATTCATATACAAATTTCAATTAATGTAAAGGATATTAATTACATCTCGACAGTCTTTGCTGTTCAAGACATGTAAGACGGAATTTACAAGTTAAAGGGATAACTTTAGTCCATGAAAGTGTACATACAACCCGGTAGCGACATGATGTAGAAACACGTCATGTTTGAAAACTTGTATCTTTATAAGACCTCTTAAATTTTAATTTAATTTAAAAAATGACTTTCGAGGGGATTTTTTATGACTGTTCTCTCCTCAGTGGAAAAAGACATGAAAATGAGAAATATAAATCTGATGCCAATATCACAGAGCCAACAAAAAATGTTTAAATATAAGTTTCCAGTCATACTAAATCCTAATAATCTCAAACTGATAATTGACTAGATATTTAATTATCTTTGAATAATTATTAATAACCAAAAATAATTGTATCACGATTAATGTTTTAGGTCACGTAACTATGTCAAAATTTACATTTAAAAAAATCTACTTGTCTTAAGTAACTCTAAAAGGTTAGGACTAGAGGAATTTATAAAAAAATTACGAGGTTATATGGAAATAAAACTGACAAATATTAACATTTTTATTCTATTTTTAATAACTTCGATACGTTTCTCAGTAATCTATTTATTTTGTACATATAATAGAAATCTTGATGATAGTTGACACATGTTTAAATTCTTAGAGGAAAATATTTACAATTTTCATATAATCTTCTACTTTAGTGTATGGGATTGTTTATTAATTACATATTTATTATTAAAGATAACATTCTTTCATTAGGCCAAGTAACTACACGTGGAAGTATAAACGTAAAGTCGGAAATCGTACAGATTGTTACGATACTTTCATGCAAAGACAAATAGCCCACATTTTTTGTTATGCAAGCTAATCCATCAACTTGAATATACAGAACGGTATTCTTAAAGATATCTACTTAATAATGTATCTGTTTAAAGATATTGGCAATTCATTTGTTATTTATATTACAATTATTTTCTTAGAAAACAAACTTAATACTCCAAAAGTTTGTAATTTATAAATAAATGTTCAGTCTTTGATATGGTTACATCCTAACACGGTAACCAATTTATAGATAATGCACAAAAATAATAAATTCGATTATTATTTCTAAAATAAAATTTCTTTCGATAGTTATAAGAGTTACAATAAAATAATTCATAAACAATATAACATCACATGTTACTTAGGCACTACTTAAACATAGGTATTACTTAGATCATTTGAGCTATAAAGAACTCAATATAATTTATATTTTATACTAAAATATTTACATCTCTGAAACTGTAACGTGAATAGGATGAAACAAAAGACGTATACGAATGACGTAATTAGATATGTTATATGAATTTGTACAGTATGAATGTTGCAATTGAAGTATCTTTCTAACATGCTATGCAATTTATTTTTATTATTTTCAGTATAAAACTACCGGATGATTAGCAAAAATAGAGGTATATACACAGAATGCCAGCTCATATTGTAAGAATCTGTAACAAAAAAAAAAAAGTATTTATTTAGGTCATAATAAGTTATACTTTCGCTTATGATAACATCTGTAAATGTTTATATTGGAAAGTTAGGAAAATTTAATAATGCTTACCTATAGCATAGTTGCGGACGCCCAAAACCGAAGCAACTTCTGGTTGCTCCATATCGAAAATTAGTTCGGCACGTGCTGCGTACAGGTTGTATATACTTGCTATGCAGGTCAACCTCAAGCTACCGCGCTCGAATGCTTCGTGTCGAACGACAAATAAAACTTCTCCAACTGATGGCAGCCTATTATCAGGTCCCGTCCTTTCATACACTGGCTTTATACTTTCCTTAGAGGGTCGCCTGATTTCCTCTTTATGAAGGTTTATGTAAGATTCGTCAAGATATTGAATATTACTTTCGTCGGAAAATATATTGAAATTGATATCATCCTCGGGTTGCTCCGTTGTAGTTGTGTCGGCTTTCATCTGAGGATCCCATTTGAACCAATCCGGTACCTCATGGAGAAGCGATTCCATATCGATCTATGAGAATATACATAATTAAAACAGATGTTATTAAATGATTATATCTTCGGTTACTGTTTTATGGGTGAGAAATGAAATATAATATTGGTATTATGTTAAAAGCTAACGCTGATCATATTTGTTTTGTGATTGATGGTTGTTTCACACAAAAACTACGGCGCCATTAAAGCGAAGTATAGAAGTACACTTCTATTGTTCTGTAGTGACGTCGCCTATTTCGTGATCACCGTTTTCTGTCTGGACTTTGGTAGATAGTTACTTGCAATTTATTTTGTTATATAAATTTTGCTATAATAATATATCAAGCTGGTTATTTTATTACATTATAATAATAATATTATATTTATCTTATAGTTTTAATAACAATGATTTTATTTGATGAATCGATGTTAACTTGTATAAGTTCCTATGATAATATTATAATGTTTACTTACAAACAACCTCCCAGTATTTACAAGACTTGATTACAAAATATCTCCCTAACAGCGAAGTTTATGTTAAAGATAGGCGGAATCAATTAAAAGTCCGAAACATTACTGTTTGTAGACCATTAAAAGTTAAATTTTGTTAATTGTTTGTTATTTCTAGTCCACTCTTAGAATAATTGGATGTAGTTCATAAATAAATTATTCCATAGTATTAATTTCTAATAATATTTATATAATACTCAGTGGCATTGTATCTTAAAGTAATTATAATAAGCTCAATTACAACTATCATACCTCTTGGCCGTTCAAAGCAAAAGTCAAATTCGCTGGTGGATGCGCCGGCGGTGAGGCGCATGTCGCTTTTAGTGTAGATCCAACGCCGTACCATGATCGATCGGATACTAATTTGGGTGGCCATTCTGGAGGTTCTATAAAAATATTTTTATTTTAATGGCAAGTACACTTATAATAGAAGAAAGTGAATTGTTAGGCAACGATTGTCACATTTTGACTAATGTGTGTGATTAGATCTTTCTCTTAGTAAACTTCTAGCTCGCGGTTGTGATACAACCCCTTATAAGTTTCGTAATGACTAAGATAAGTAAACAACCAATCATTAATAAAGAAGCTTGATGGGTTAAATTTCGAAACAATATTCTAATATAAAAAAGGAACTGAAAGTATCAGAGGGATAGTATATAATATTTTATACTTTTACTCAAGGTAAACTCACGTACATTTTATCGGAAATTGGATACATTTCCAGACATAACTCGTCTTATTATAAGTAAAACCAATTTATTCAGGTGAAATACAAGTTAAACTTTATATATCAATAAAAATATTTTAAAAGTTGTTTTTTTCCAGGTTTTCTAATTTCATGTTACGGTTGTATAAACTTATTGCTTTAATTTTCCGCGCTGAGACCTCGCGGATACCGTTTAATCAACCGTGTACAATCACATTCTGGCAGTCCCTGGAGTACCTTTATTTTTACGCCGTAACAAATTTAATCAGGTAGAAATATAATAAAATGTAGCAACCGACCGACTGCATTCTGTAAGATTTATTGCTGTTAAAATATGTTCATTTATTAATATTGCTCCATTTACTAAGAGTGACGATGCTAATTTTATATACTGGACTTATTCTAAAGTTTACAAAATTAATCCACAGTAGGTCTGAGAAAGTTTTAGGCATCGTATCTTCCTTAGTTACATAAAGGAAGCATCCATCTTCGTCGAGAACCACGAACCGATACTGTGTCGTAATTCAGGTAAGCAGCAAGTTTGAAACTGATTTAGATTAATGTTATTGCAAAATCATTATTAAATAAGAAGTTTATACTAACAGCTAACTTGTACTTTGTAATCTTATTAAATATACACAAATTCAAGTAAAGTATACTATCAACCACAATCTAAATAATTATGAAGGCATTGTTGTAGTTTTAGTTTTCATAAAATTTATAAAAGGAAAACAAAAATCGTATAAATGACAGAATAAAATCTTTCTGCCAATAAAGAGGTTGTATTGGTTGGCTTCATTCAATCGATTTATATTGGCAGGTGAATTTTATTGGAGCGCTCTGAACTAATACAGGGCAAACCTATGTTCGGCACGTCCGTTTACATTCCTTTTGCCGCATTGTACTCATCAGCTACTTATATCAAGTTCAATAAACTCATTTCTTTGTAAAATATATCAAGCAAGCTAACTTATTCATAAATTTATTAAATATTGCTTAAATATAAATTCTTTTTAAAAAGGCGTTCCATTAATACATATAATTCATTCAATCATTTTTCTTCATATAAATCTTTTACAAATGTATTTAGAATATTGTATATTTAATATTTCTCTGTCGCAATACAGTATTTTTACGAGCTGTTTACACATTTTAACATATGAAATTGAAAATGTCGTTAAGCGTCCAAATTGTTGATTATTCTCTTTAATGTCGATGATAACATACCATAAACTTTTAACGTTCACAAAAAGTAAAACAGTGTAATTTGTGGTAATAAAACGTTGAACATAAATTCGGCTTTAATTTAGACAATTTCAAAAACAACACCCCAACCGTGGAGGTACCCCGTAACACATCAGAACGGAAGAAACCTACCATTGTGTGTAGCTTTTAACTAACTACTTTTAACACCTTCCGCTCCATTGTTATCATTGTTAATTATAACCTACGGTGTAATGTATGACTAATGATCTACGCCATTTAGGTCGGGGGCATAAATGTTAATAGCGAAACATAAACTTATATCTACAGTTATAATATTACGTATAGTATTTCTAAAATATCAAAACTTAGAGTTTCATAGTTTCGTTATATTAAATTCCAATATTTTTGGCTAGTACAGTAAAAAACAATATTTTAGTCACTAACGTCATTTTTTTTGGTATAATTCTTAAAGAAAAACTTTCAACACTTTGTTTGGATTGAAATATTGAAAACCAATTTTGGGTCACATATCAGAGAAATCCAATTCAATTTCTTTATATGGAGATTTTCATATATTAATCCTACCTACTACATCCAAGGGCGCTGATCGTATTTCCGTGTGGAAAGTGGGTGCGTCTGCTGACACCTCGCAGCGGAAACGACCTGCCATAGCCGGTGTAGCCTCTTGTAGAACAACGCGCCTGGCACCCGAACGTGATATCTAGTAACGTTTGTTTTATTAACACAATTAATTATCTATTTGTTCTATATAAATTACACTATTAACATTCATTTATATACTTTGATTTAGAAAATAACAAAACCCTCTTCAAAATCAAAATGAAAAGTAAAAAATAAGGATTTCATTTAGTAAATTTAAAAGACATATATTATGAAAAAATATTAAGTAGAACTGTTTCTTACTTATAAATAGTAATTTTAAAAAATTGTTTTTTGCCATTAATTCATTCATATGGACTCAAACATCGATGTTTTTATAAATGTTTAGAATCAATTAATACTTAATGGGGTTATCGTATGAAAAATTTTGTATTTTTCACATTATTATGAAAATTAAAATGATAGTTGTTAATATTTTTAAAAACCGTTAAATTAAATTTATTAAGTTTTCATGAGATTGTCTCAAAGGTATGTGACATATACAACAAAGGGATTCTTCAAAATCAATTCTTGTTTAGCGAAACGATCGCCTCACAAATATTCAAAACAGTACAATTGAATTAACAACTTTTTCCTTATTGAAGAAGATTGAAAACTGTGAATTGTCAACTTCAATCAGTTCGAATATTTGACTCAATATTTCTCTTAAACAATTATTGCTATGAAAGAATCTTTAAAAATATCTTTTTTTTTTATCCTTCATGATAATTTCGAGAGAAATACTTTACATGTCATTTTTCCTTAAGTTATTTTATATAGTGACATATAATAATTTTCTTAAAAACTCGGAACTGTTCTTTTTTATATCTACATAATTTTGAGTCAATAATAGAAAAAATATATATAATAATTGATTGGAAAAGTAATTATATACTACCCAAGCATAATATCTATGTAAGTAAAACTTTATTGTCATGGAACAAACATGCATACATTCCACTTTTAATATTACTGACTAAATTGATAACAGTGTTTTGTATCAAAAGGAAACCGTTAATGGAACTATTTTCAATTTAATAATAATCTACAAAGGCCGTTAGTTTAAAGAGAATTCAAGAGCCAATTATTGAAAATTTCACAATATTCATTTCACAGCTTAAACACCGCGGTGAGGTGAGTTTTATAATAAAATCTTATAAGCGGTGTTTTTATTTAATACAACTAAATAAAACCTTTTTATGACACTAAATCTCCATCGACCACTGATGTTGTCGGTCGAACAACCATTGAAATGTTACTTTAAATGCATTGTTTCCAATACGATTCCCAAAGAAATGTAGTATAAATAGAACAAAACTCACATCCACTTCAATCCCAGGCAGTGGGAATACTCTTGTGTGAGGCAATTCCTTTGGTATATATCTATAGAATTCTTCTCTCCCTCGGTACCATTTTACGCTGTATAGGGCCTCTTCATCTTCTAACTGCCAACTACATTCGAGGGTAACCGTCTCTCCCACGAGGACTGCACTTGGCACGTTGATTTCTAAGTTATGAAGGCCTCGAACCCCTGGTTAAAAAGAGTTATGAATATTATGAAATGAAGAAATATTTGTCTATTGTTACATATTAATTGCTCGGCTAAAAATATGAAATTCGAATTTTGATTAAAATATTTTAAGTAGAAAAATTGATACATATACCAACCAATTTAAAAGCTATACATCTCTGATTTTTAATTCTTTGTTGAAAAAAATACGCAATTAAAAAAGTTTCAGGTATAAACGTTATGTTCGCCTTTTCATCAGAAACAAGCAAGCATACAATAGTTGTCTGCTTTAGCACAAAAGAAAAAGAAATTCATTCTTAATTTTTTCGCTCAAAAGCGGTAAAGGCAAATCGCTGCCATACTTGGCTGTTGTTGAAATAAATTTCCTTCTACATTTTCACTGTAAAATATTTTCTATTCGATAAGTATTTATTTGACGTACCTCTGCTCAGACATAATGGTTATACTTAAAAGCCATTAGGCATTTTAATTATAATTCAAATACGGTCTTAAAAATTCCAGAAAGGATTGTCAGTACCGAAAACCATTAAGTGCTTTGAATATTAATTATTATATTTCCAGCGGCGTTATGATATTCTAACTTTGAAATATTAGGATATCGTATTTTTTTAATACGTTAACAAATGTTCATAATTTAAACGTCCTATGTTATATTGTATTAACTAACTTTATTCAAATACGGAATTTATCGGTAAATACTCTGTGTCAAAATAATCTTATGTACCTAAATATAGTGAAGTAATAGAGAGCTTTATCGAACTTCTGCGCCAAGTATTCAACCTATGTTATTTGGTATGCAAATCTTCTATAATGTTCGATTAGTTTTCGGTAGCGTATTGTGTTCTGGTTCGCAAATGAAATAGATTAAGCGAGAATTTACTACTCGGGAGGAGTTTAATATTCGAAATATCTAAGTATAAAGAGATATTTACATACATATACATACATATATAGGGATAAATTAAATATTTATTAAAACATTAAGATAACAAAGAAATAAGCCAATACAATAAAATGCTTTGATAATTAAAACATAACATTGACAATAACAAAGGTTGAATGAATTATTGAAAGAGACCTTTGTAAAATTAAATAAAGTATATGAATGCAGGCATGAAACTTTATTGAATTAATACAATAACTGTTTGAACATTATATGCCAATAATTTAATAATAAATGTAAACTCAAATGCTATATTAATATTACCCATACAAAATATTTCTGGAATCCATGAATACATGACACAAGCATATGTATTAGCTTTCGTGAGAGGCATTCAAAATGTGACTTTTGATATTGCACAAAGTGCCTCACACTTCGAATGACTTATTTAATTTTCAGTGACATAAAAGTCTAGCTTAAAGCTGGCAGTAGTTTAAAATAGTGTGAGGTCGATATTTTTTAAACGTAAAATTGATATTAAAAATACTTCTATGAACTCTTATATGTATTATTTCCTTCGAAATAACTTCTGTTTTAAGTATTTTAAATTTAGTCATCTAATAAAGTTTAAACATTACTGATATTTAATTCGCATAGCCAAACACATAGGATAACTAAATCTAAAGTAAATTAATTAAAAACAATCCACGTCTACATGTATAAATATTAAATGTGTTCATAAGAAAAGAATTAAAAAATGTTAGAACATTAATAACTGTACAGTGTACGGTCGATGTTTAAATCTTTATATTTATTTTTCATTAAAACAGGTATGAGTTTTTTATATTATACATTTTTTTGTAAAACATTTAGTATAATTTCTTGTATTGAAAAAGGATATTTAAACTACAAAAAATAGTAAGAAATGAGATACTTGAATATATTGTTGATTGTTATACAATATAAATGTATATTTTAAGTCTTATAAAGATCTAAAGAAGTCTTGAATAATTACATAACAATTTGGCTTTATTTTGGTATTACATTATTAATTCATTAATATAATTATAAAATGTTTTTTCACTCGAATGTACCACTGTTATTAAAACTTCATAAATATTGTCAATGTATTAATGTAAGGATTACTGTCTTTAAATTATCACAGGAAATATGCTCCTCCTATTGCATTTTATTCTTATGACATATACCAAGATTATATGATACTGAAGATTATATATTTTTTTTATTTCTAATATTTTTCAATGAAGCTTTTGTATTGTATAAAAACAAAATTAATCGTCTTAACAAATATTTTTTCCTATGTTACTAATGGTATAGTTATTAATCAATGAACAATCTAACCCAAGTTCCGCGAACCGTGGTAAAGCTTAATGTCCGCTTTCCGGATGTTATTCTCATACTTAGACGTATATTCTTATATATAAATAGATACATGAACTGAACTGAAATGTTTTCTATTCCTTGAACCTGGATACTAGTCTCTTCAGCAGTGCAAGGTTAATGCGATTACGTGACAGGGGCTCGATCATTCCATGCCATTTCAAGGAGATCTCAGACGGATCAATATATTTTCTCTCAAACTTTATACCATTGTGGTACAAAAATTGTTCATGTTTATGGGAGTGTAAAGAACTTGCCTTTATCAGTATAGACTTTCATACACACCTTTGATTTTCAGGTGGTATAGTATCACTGTATAAAATAGGACGTAGATACCGATAAGAATCCTTCGGATAGGTGAAAAACATCAATATTATTACAAACAAATACTACTAGTACAGGTTCTTGTTGTTGAGCTGACATCAAAATTTTTGAAGAGTATGTTCATCTAGAACTGATTCGAATAGTGGCTAAAGTGGCATGTAGGACATGTGTATTTTCACCGACAGCATACGGTACCTGGACGAATGCTTACTTAAGGCCAACTTTACTGTGAACTTACTAAACAAACTCAAAGTTATTCAATTAGTAAGCACGGAGAGCTATATGAAGAAATGGCTTCTCTATAGCATTTTCCAGTTATATAGTTATAACTGAATATTATAATCCCACGTGAGTATGGGAGATCAGAGAAAAATGTATGGAGCCCATACAGATTTTCGATTACTTTACTAATTGATGTGATAATGTATGTGCTAGTTGTTTCCCCGAGTTTATACCCGGTAGGAATGAAGAGATATCATATCTTGGTTAAAATAGTACATGTCAACCTTTAATCAGACACCATGAAGTAATACAAAATGTTATAATCTGCTGATACAAAGGGCAAACAGATATTGTAGAGCTAATTTACTTGTCGCAGATTTAACGTTGGCCCTTAAAAGTTTGATACACAAAATGCTTCAAGATTATATAATAATTATAGAAACTTTGTTCGTGTAATAATTCATATTTAGGCACATGTATGAAGGATAATAAATTATGCTTTACATTAAGTAAGATTAAGTGCTCATAAATCACAAATATGTAAGTAGCTTTACCATAAATCTCTTGCTATAATCAAATTTGTTATAATCTTCAAATAACCTAAATAGCTAAGTGGTGCCTCAAGTTGTGATAGGGCTTCAATAGAGTTCTTTGCCACGATCAATCACTTAGATTGGCTAAATATTGACGACTTTAGAGAGAGCTGAGGTTATTTCGGGTTCACTCTCAAAACTTTCTACTACATTTTGTAATTAACGTAATAGTAGTAGCCAATGCATATTTTATACGTATTTATAATTTATTTTATAAATATGAAAAAGATATATATTTCTAAAATATATAAAAATACAAATAACGATTACAAATATTTTATAATTTGTAAATAAAATGATTCTAAATATCATGTGAATTTGCAAATAAAACTTATCCATTATATCTTGTACCATATCATAGACCATGAAATATATACTCTTATGTTTAAGAAAGTGTTTAATGTTTTTTTTTTGCATATGATCCCTAAACTCCTTAATATTTTACGTTCAATTCAGGTGTTCTATTTTCATATTCCTATAACCAGTAGGACGCAAAGTTCATCAGTTAAATAAAATGTGTTAGTAATTTGCAAAACAACTTGTCAGTCGATGGTTATTTTTAGTATGAAGATTTATAGACAAGAACATCAGTATTTTTACCAAATCTTAAGAGGCATAAGGCATTTTGGCCAATCTGAAACAACAACTACTGTCACTATATTCCATTTCGATCTCTGGTTGAGTAAGTCATTGAAACTTCAGAGATAATTGTTGTGAATTATGCGACTAAAAGTACATAAGATTATTTTTCGAAATTAATTCTGCTTGTTACATATGTACTTGATAGAAATAAAAAATATACTTTTTTATAAAGTAACATTGTGTGCAGATTAACATTTTATGTATTTTATTACTGGCATATGAGGATGTGTAAATATAGCACTTTTACCTTAGAGTCCTCATTCTTAACTTCCTCACGTTAATTATAGACTTCATTTATACCCTGTTTTTGTTCCTATTTCTTAAATAGCGTAATGGTGTTTAAGTGAATTGATCAGTAAGTTTCCTTCATACGTATAGGCTATACTATCTAACGCGATATTTTGATAACATTATAAGTATTTTTAAATAAAGAATTAAATATTAATTAAAATGATTCTTATAGTGTAGTCAATTAATTTGATTGGTGTATGATGTCTGTGGTATTATACGCGTCACTCATATCAACGAAAATCAAATTTGACGCTTGATTGAATTGACTTATTTAATATATTCACTGAATAATTTAGGACCACGTTCTGTGTAAGTTTACCTATATTCACTATATAAATTTCAATAAAATAATTTAAATGCATAAATCTACATGAATCACATATAAATTGAGATATTTAATATTAAGTATGTAGGTACTATATAAATTATCATATAGTTATTTAAACTAGCGGTTAGGGATAATCGAACAACAGATATAAAATATATGTTGCTATTTTAAAACCTTTCCCTCTTTAGAAGTCTCTGAAAAGCTTTTGTTCCAGACGATTTTTACTCTTACCTATTCTTGTAACTTATTATTCTCAAGTAATTAGCGATAATTTTAGAAAAGATTACCTTTTCATGTATTATTTAGAAATATAAAGATGTTGACTAAAATATTTTGGGTAGATATTAATATTTAGAGGCCAATGTGACATACTGAATATTAATCACGAAGAAACTTAGTATATAGACGTAATAAATGAAGCATACTTTCAAAGGTAAATCCATTAAAACCTTATATTTTTTTCGGTATTCTTCATATACAACGATAAATATTTTTCTTGTTTCATTATTCACTTGTCTGTCCTGCTTGTCACCGGCGGCGAAATGAGATCCTTTCGTCCAATTGTGAGAATATTTTGCATCATTCCATTATTTTGAATAGGGAGCGCTCATTCACCGTTCCAGCCTTGTAAAGTGGACATTTTAGAAAGGTTCACCCCGGATTACGCCTTTTTATTACAAATCTTATAGACGGTTCATTTAACTTAGGATGCATTGCTTTCTTATTCGTATTACTTTTTATTAAGGAATTAACATTAAACGTAATAATTAATTCCCAAATTATTAACAAAAATGTAGCAATAACAATTTTTAAATATAATTGGAAACTTATTGAAAAAGTATCATATTTGATAAATAGGAACATTTTACATTTAGTTGCTTATTGAAAAAGCTTTAAGATCCCTTTGGAGCCCTTTTATGAATATAAATAATCATCACGGGACAAAGCAATTGTTGTTACACTTTACATACAAAATTTGGAAACAAAATGGTAAATATTTTAGGAGTGTCGAATTCCATATAAAATACCTTCAAATGATACAAAAACTAATACACGAATTAAGAATGTTGTCCACATTGAATGTATGTTTTTTTGGAAAAAGAAACCTAATTACTTTGATCACTGGTAATTTTAAGAAAATTATTAAAGGTGTATTAATTAGATTCATAACACATTTTGAACAATGGAGTTTACTACCAATCTCACGAGATATTTCTTTTAATAGGTAGCCCTCCAGTTATTTCAGCCTACCAGATATGCCTTGAACCATAACTTTTTAAAATCATAAAAGTCACATTTAAATCTTTATTACATTTAGAACAATATTAATACTAAAATTGTCATTCATTTTGTGACCAAATCAAGCCTAAAATTGAGAAGTAGGACCGAGTTTGCTGAGACCTTTGTCAAGCTCGTTAAGTTCCAATTAATACACTATTAATATTGTTGAAATCAATTTTATTTGATTAAGGTCAAAAGTCAAGGGTATGTTAATTATCCTGATAATTTTCGAGCTAATTAAAATAAATATTCAATTTTTGTATAAAAAAGAAAACCTCTGACTATTGTTTTAATGAGCGGCGTAATACAAACATCAATATAAAATGAGAATATTATTCACAGTAACTGTAACTTACCCATACTCCATATAATGGTAGCTATAAATGCCACTAAAATGCGGCTTCCTGTTAGAACCACCTCCATGCCACCTATCTATCCCACAAACGTCTCATATAACACAGACACTGTTTTTCTTTAATTTCCTGAACTACTCGCACACGTGACCATTTTATTGAAGTAATATCGAATTACCTGTAAATAGAAAAAACACAATGAGTGCTAATTGAATATATTTTTTTTCTTGTTATCCATAAAAACTATTGAAACTATCTTATATTGTTCGGATAAATCTATTGTTCAAATAAAAGCTATGTTAGTATCAATTATAAATATGTATTGATATTGCAGTATCTTTATAATTTATGTGAACATTAAATGGCCTATAATGAATGATGTGAATTCCAGCAAAGCAAAATGTTTTAACGGTTAGAATTCCTGTATAAAATAAATAGAGGTCTACGGAACCATAGGCAATATTAAGTAGGAGCAAAGTAATTGAAAGTAAGCATGTCTAACTTTGCCAATCAAGTTTGTGTTTGCTGTTTATTTAGTTAGGGTTTTAACTGAAATTGAATTTCTTTGAAGATATCCGTAAATTTACGTTAATCTTGTTATCTGATATTTTATATAAACTTATACTTTTGAAATATATATACTTGGATATATTGTTTATATTATACAGGGCCTTACGAATACAAACCTAAATGTGGGCGAATTTTCTATCTATTTTAGAAATAGCTGAATATACTTTTTTATGGGCAAATGTGTTAAGTTGAAATTTAAAACAATTTTTGTGTATTATATAAATTTATATTTTTGAAATATATGTAATGTTTCAGAAATATAAATTTATATTAATGGAAATAACAAAATAAGGAATTATCATGAATGATGTAAATCGGTCGATTTTATAGTTAAATCTTAAATTGTAAACAAAGTAATAGTAGTTGTAAAACTATTTTACTGAAAGGCGTTTAAGGACAATACATTTGGAAATGAAAACTATTCTAAAAGTATAATCAATTACCAATTTCTAATAAAAACCTATTTGATTTCAACTACAATCAAACCTTAAAATCGAATTAGTGCTGTCATATAACCATTTTACTTTTATTTGTTTCAAACACAATCTCCGTCTAACACGATTATGACAAAACAAATAGGATATTGTGTTAAGCTTTCAGTTTCTGAAGATATAGAGGACGTGAGAATATGTAAATAGAGTTTCAAATGCTTTTGTTCTCTCCTTAGTGCCCTTTTGGTTTGCCAGCCGTCGCTATATCCAAAGTTTTGCTAAGTTAAAAGACAGATGAAACGCTTTATGTTCCAGATGTTGCCAATCACATCTGACCAATCCCTGTGACATGATTCTGTTCTCTGTTTGCATTTTATAGATCTGACCTTTCTCAGATCTTATTGACACGGATAATATTTAATCTTTTCGATGATAGCGAGCTCGAGAGACTTAAATTAGAAGTAATAATAATTTCACTTTATACGATTAATATCAGATTATTTAAAAAGCTGTAAGTTACAAAAAATGTTTGCATCAAAAACAATTTTACACAGATAAGACTCGATAAAACAGAGCACTAAAGAGATGACAGGTGTGCCGCTACAATAGTGAGTTTAGAGGTGTATAGCGCTTGGGAATGAAATAGAAATAACTTATTTTTATACGTAAATAAAATCATATTTGTATAAAATAAAATTTTGGTTAGATTTAGAAACAGTGATAAAATATAGAATAGATGCTGTCGATAGTTAAATAACTCTTTATAGATTGTCCCCGTGTAATGGACCGAATGATTCAATTTTAATGAAGGCTACGTTATCAATAGTCTTCTCTTTGATCATGATTATTGGATAATTTAAAGCAATTTACAAAATTACACGATTCTTCAATGTTTAATTTCATTTAAGAATATAACTTTAACTTTATATTTTATGATGCAGAGCTCATGGCATTTTAATAAAACTCTGAATTTATTAAACGGAGGGAAAATTTATAACATTACTTTAGATAAGAAATGTTACTAACTTCAACATTGAAATAGTATTAAAAACAATTGGGATGTATTACATACGTAGTTTGAATACTAAATACATAGTTGAATTTATCCCAAGCTATAGATAATGTATAATACAGTGTCATATCATCTCATTAGAAAATATGGGACACGGTGCGAACCGCTCAGTGAAATGTGTTCCATTGCTCTTTGTGTTCGCTCCTTTTGTTCAGTGATCTACCCTACGGCAAGGAGTAGTTTAGTTCGTATTCACAATATTTACAGCCCTCACCGAACATCAGAGGCATGTTCATGTATTAAAATTTATGTCATACTTGAATGTTAATTATACTTCATAGCGAATTATTCTGTTAAATAAATGTTGAAGATTGAATTATGTTAGCTGTATGTGATCTTATTTTATTACTTAGGTTTTTGAGTATAACTAGAATCTTTATTCATATTAATTTCCTTATATAATACTCAATTCTTTTTTATTGATAAAATATATTTTTATGGCTAAAGTTGAAAAAAGCAACAAATAAACAGAATACTAATTAAATTAAAACAAACTTTTATTTTTGAAATGAGTCGCAAAAGTTTCAAAGCTTTTACTTTGAATTCTAAGAAACGTTTAATCGAAGCCATCCAAAGGGAAAACTGGGAATAATTGGAATTTTCAGTCGGTCACCAATATTTTGGAAGGACGTTTTTCAATTTAATTACCGCGCCTTTAGGCAATCAACATTCTCCTCTTTATTAAATTGGTAAAATTGTATTACACATAAAATAAACCTCTTAATGGCTGAAAAAACGATACTTTATGTTTATTTTATCTGATTTTTATTGAAGTTTGATGTTTTTGATTGTGATTTTTTTGTCAAATTTTGAATTTGCACATAAAATTTAATAGACAACTAAAGATACACAATTTCTTTAGCAAAATAAATAACAAAGGAAGATTAGAAATGTGCTTTATACTGGCGAGAAAGAGGATTTACTTAAAGTTTATTTATTTAATTTTGCACTCAGCAAAATTAGAACTATCCTACTTCAGTTTCTATTAAGGGAACTTATCCGTTTTCGTTTTTAAAGTAAAAACTTTAAAATTTCTGCAAACAAAGATATAAAATAGAGAAAGAGTTTAAATAGTTAATATTGTTATACAAAAATACATACATATATGGTTAATAAATCTATTTCTATAATATTAATCATGATGAATTAAATTATTTTATAGTCCAAGTCAAAATATAAACACTGGCTATACATGTGATTTTCTTAAAAAAATATAATTTTTGAATATACCTGACATATAAATAAGATTTATATTGTAGATATAGTAAACAGATTTTGCGATTAACATCAGTATTTAACGAGGCTCTTGTCATTAAAGTAATTACTGCGATTGTTTCACAAGCTACTTCAATTTAAATTTATCATTTATTATTATTTGCTACTATTACAATGAGTACATAATAATAATTGTTAAATGATAATATGATCGAACAATACATAATTTGTGTCATATTAATTAAATAAGAGAGTATAATTTTTGATTTTGTTGCTAGTTCTCTGGAATTGTGGTTGTCTATACATTTCAGGTTACTCTCATGTGACACTTTTGCATCTTTAAAGGCAGTTCATTTGTATGCAAATTAGCCTCGTTCTTTATCGCTACTATATAATGAAGTTATTTTTCTAGTTAATTGCGGTACCTAGTCTTGTAAAACTAAAAGGAACATTGGCCACAAAGTTTTCGTTAATGAGGGTATGGTTTGGTTTCAGAATGTACACTTAATTGCTGTTTGGCATAGTTTCTATCACACAAATTAAGGCAATTTCGTATAGAGGATATAGCGAATATAAAACGTCATGGTGCACAATTTTTACCTGAACTTTTAACAAATTGCAGAAATAATAGCTGACAACGATGTCCGTTGCCAAAAATGTGCCAAATGTCCTGAAGGTATAGCATTTCAACTCCATACGAGAATTTATATTTAGGAAAACTAATCTTCCTCTTAAGAGGAATTTATGTTTAAAAATATGAAGCTACCTGATTATTACAAAGCAATTTGATTGCACTTTTTAAGAAGAATATATGTTAACTTCCTTCAATTTCAAATTTTTAGTATTTGTTTCTCAAAAAATCTGTTTTGTTATATATCTTATACAAAATACGTATATATTTTTTGAGTATCAAACAAGATGGTTTGTTAAAAAACGTGCCTCTTAAATTAAATGGAATTTTTAAATAATCAGGTAAAGTCGGGTGAAGGATCTAGGTGTTTTAATTAAAATTAAACCGAAGGCGAATTAATGAATAAAAATCCATAAGAGGTAATAAATTGTGTAAGTAAAGTAAAGAAATTATGTTTTACTTTCGGTTATAATATATCACACTCCACAAATTCGCGTTATAATTTCATCTCGCAGTCTTTTATGATGAATCTGGACTGTAAATCCCTGTCACAGTCTCATTCCGTAGGTACGTCAGGAAAACCCCACCGTATTATATTTCATGGGCTTTCTTAACGTTGGTTAAGAAAGACAACAATTATGTTTATTCATGATTATTAATTATTTTCTTTCATCACTTATTAATGCAAGTATCATATGATACTAAATAAGGAATATATATGAATTATTATATACGATAATATGTAATTCTATGAGACTAAACAACTATATATTGTAATTTAATGCATTGGACAGAAAAGACATGTTTACGAATTATATTTTTGGTTAAAACTTTATCTGGGCTGCGTATAAGTAAGTATTCTTAATAAATGATAAATCAATTAGGTAAAGGGATAGAATCTCTGTGGCAACTTTTCAATTAGTCTTGTTAAATATTATTCCATAATGTTGAATTATCTTAACGACAATTAAGGACCACAATTGGTCACAATATCGTGATTGCTATGTTTTATGAAAAAAAAGATGGTGATGTATTTTTTATTACAACCTAATTAATCATTTATTAAATTGAAATATTTTTATATTCAAATAATATTGCAATTTTTCCACAAATATTATAAAGCTTTTATATACACCTTTTTACATGAAGGA